AAGGAATACTGTGTGGTTTAAGTTCAGAAACCATATGTTGGCATTATTTTATGAACTCTCATCTGCGTGCATCAGTGGTTTCAGATTCCCTGCCAAGGATAATTAAAGAATTTAGCATTTTTATTTAGTTGGAAAATGAGTGTCAAAATACTAGCACACAAATTTCCAGTCTGTCAACAGTGCCTGTAAATTCAGTTCTTACTAATATGCTTTACTTCCTTCCTATCCTTAGAAAATGCACTTCCGGTTTCTCTGGAATGTGTTATTTTTACTATATCTGACACAGCTAAGATTCCCTTAAGCTTGAATTCAGTAACTCAAGAGTCCTTGGATGAAAACTAAGATTGTAAATGATAAAAACAAAACAAAAAAAACCAAGATTATTTTTTTATCACAGCCCTTTAGCAACATCTAGTGAGTATTTCAAGACAGGGCAGGACATTCAAACATTTTCCTACATAAAGCAACAGTTTAGAAGTCCAATCTAATTTATTTATTTTTTTAATATTAAATCTTTAAGACAGATATAATTTATCCTGTGAAGGCAAAATTGTGTGTGTGTGTGTGTGTGAACACTTAGGAAAAAGTATAGCTGGCATTTCCTCATTTAGCGTTTGATGGACATTATCATAAAGGGCCATATGGTAAGAGTATAATGGCAATATAAAGAGGTCTCAAACATAATATAAGAGCTTAGATAAAACAACATCTACTAGAAATGGAAGTTTCCAAGAACATCAGATGAGGGTATGAAAAGAGAGAGAACAGAAGAGGTAGAGAAGGAACACAGGAAGGAGATAAGGCCAAATCATAGAACTGGTCAATTTATAGAATTCATATTTTATCCTAAGATAACTGCAGTCAAGGCACTATTTTGTTAATCTCTGCATTCTTCAAAGTGTTTGAGGAACTGGCTAATTCTACATTTTTTGTCATTTTTCCTCAGACTTGTAGTGCTTTACTTCACTAGAAGTTCTGGTCCTAGGTGGGTGGGATGTGGTCAAAGAGGTGATGGGTGACAGTAAAGAAGCTCCCAGCTTCTGTCTGGAGGTGTTGGTATGATCAGAAACCATGACTACAATTCCTCCTGTCAACAGAATTTGAGTCCTAGCAAAGACACCACTCTCCCTAGAAAGCTGACACCATTCTTAAAAGGAATTTGTCTTCTGATGTTTGCAGCAAAAGAGGAGACTGGCATTCTCCAGTGACAGGAGGGAATAGCATCAGCATGAGGCACCCTGACCTTTTCACCTGGATGCCTTCTTAGCTCTATCACCCTAGAAACGTGATCTAACCTTTCTCTGCCTTAACTTCTCTACCAGTAAATTAGATAGGATTAATCAGCATAGATATTCATAATCAATTAATGGTTATTTATAGTTATGCCTTTAAATCCTAGCAAAACCCAAAGAGCTTAGATAAAAGTATTAGCATTCCAAGCATACCTAAACAACAAAGCTATCTGGGGCTATCAACAAGTATGTGAAAAGGTGCTCGATTAAGCAACACATGAGTTAAATAAATCCAGTTCAGCAATTTGGGAGCATTTTTTGTTCTAATTTGGCTTTAAAACAGAGAGCTAGAGATATTATTGAAGAATTCTTGAGTCACTATGGTAGATAGGCAGCAAATGTGAGCTGGGAAAAGAGAGGACTTGTCCTATCAGATATCAAAATGTATTTCAAAGCTTTAGTTATTAAAATATGATATACTGGATCAGGGATAGACAAATAGTTCAATGGGGCTGAATTGAGGGCCCCATAAGAATATCCATGTATGAATGAAAATACGTTGCAATGCAGATTAGGGAAAAGATGATATAGTTGAGAAATAGTACCAGAACAATTATTCATGTTAAAAATAAGTTTGGATCTATACCTATAATTATATACAAATATCACTTACAGGTACATCAAGGAATTAAATATAGAAAGCCAGATTTTAAAATACTTAAAAAATACAGAGAATATTTTTAACATACCCAGGTAGGCAAATCTTTCAGAAACAAGAGAAAAGAAAAGCAAAATTTATAGAGAAAAAGTTGACAAACTTTGCTGCATGTTGTTCTTTGAAAAGTAAATGAGGCAATACTCAAAGTGGGAGAATATATTTATGGAATAACTAGTGAAAATATCTAGTTATATAAATAATTTTTCTTAATAAGAAAAAAAATTTTAACTCAATAGAAAAAGTTCATTTCACAGAGCAAAAAATATGGTTGGTGGGGTAAACACCAAAAAAGATGCT